GTGTCGCGTCGGCATGATGTCAAGTGAAGCGTTTCAAATTTTGAAATTGGATAGGCCAATCATAAACTTTCATTAATACTGCTTTCTGATTGGCTTCGTGATGGATAAATTCAATTTCAAAGGTGCGTCGACGATGAATAAAATTACATCAATTTAGACAGGTGGTCGGATATTTTGGGGGGGTCGGACTTTTCCGGGGTTCTCTGTAGTCGGGGTCTAGTGATGACCTTTAAAGAACACGGCGCACTTACTCATGTAGCTAGCGTACACCTACATACTGAGGCAACACGTATATGTATATATTACAGAAACGATGCTAATTTAAATGCAATGTTGCCACCAACGACACCCCGATAGCAACACAGTTGGTCTTTTTTATTCGATTACCAAGTGTAGCAGCATCCTACACGACTGACTATAACAAGGCGGTGGTCATGGCTACGAGCTCTTCGTTCGAGTACAAGGCGCAGTTCAGCCGGTGGTGGACCAGCTCCAAAAACATCCGGGCTCCCAGCGGCAAGATTGCATCGTTAAAGTCAAACTAACAGTTTATCACAGACACCATTAGTTCCTTTTCAACCCTCCACACATGTTTTCAAGCTCACATAAAGTGCCAGTAAGTATGACGTATGTGCCAATTTAGGTCGTACGAAAATGCACCAATCATCGATCGTAATTTGAATATGCATCCAATCATACAGGGAACCTCTAAATCACTTCTATTGACAATTACATACAACAAGGAAAAGTATAAAACATACCACTGAAAATGGCACTCAAAAACAATTTCTTATAGAAGTTCCGTGTCTAAAACGGTTTCCAAGGACTCAAAGCCTTGTAGCCTCAGAGCATAAGACCTCAATCATGGGGTGTTCACTTGGGAAATCACTACCTTTACGACTTTTTCGAATTTGAAAATGATGAAACAAGACGGAAATTTGCCCATTTTTCGAAATCAAATGAATGTTGAATGCCATACAGTAAATTTGCATTTTATTACGTTACCAGTACGGTTAACTCGCATTCAAACCCCCTTCAATCTTCTTGCAAACAACCAAATATATGGTGAGAGAAAATAGTAATACTCTTGGAAATCTGACCGTATCGCTATGACACATGCGATTTTGAGACTGGGTTGGGTCGAGTGTCCCCAGGAAAAAGAAACAGCCCGGCCGCTCCTTCAAAAAATACGAAAAATCTTCCGATGCGCACACTGGCATCCCTTGCTGATCACTCGTTTGCTGCCAACAATGCCTTGAGCGATCGCTTGAACGATGCTGGTTTCCATCTCGGGGTTCACTAGTACTGGGTACCCCTCTTGAAATGAAATGGAACCACCAACGCCGTACGCCGCACATGTGTGCTCGACGAGTGTGGCCATGCCTATCACCACAAATATATATATACATTTAACGACTGTTTTGTTTCGAGCAATATCTCGATTCGTACGTTCTTGGACCGTGGCGGCGACCGCAGGAGCAAAGTCGTGCAACCGTCCGGATAACGTCACCACGGATGGGATGACGTTGTCGGGTTCCCCGCCGTGCACTTGCGTGATCGACACAATCGCACTGTCGTGGGCATTCACATTGCGACTCACAATCGATTGCATGGCCACGATGAGTTGTCCCGCGGCGACGATCGGGTCCTTCCATTATTGCCAAACAAAAACGACGTTAACGACGTGATTCGACGTCGTGGAGGCGTACTTTGGTTTCGTGGGGGGCAGACCCGTGGCCGCCTGGACCAGAAATGCGGATTGTAAATCGACTTGAATGCGACATCATCGCGCCCGGCTTGACCCCAACCGTCCCCAGAGGAAACGGGACATTATGATATCTAACGTTAACATTTGAAGACGGAAATGTGCATAAATAATTAGTCTATTCAACACGAAAAAAATATACTACAATGCTCCATTTCGATCAAAATAATGCAATAGATAGATAGGTGTACGACTAACCCGTAGATTTCTTGGACCGATTCCAAGCACCCGTCCTTGATCATTGCCGGGGCGCCTACGAATCATATAGTGTTTACAATGCATAAAATACTATAAAAACAATCCATAGAGAACGAGTTAATAGGAATTACAACTACCGTACACGATTCGAATGAATAATACTCAAGATTCGTCGTAACGGTACCAAAATAACACTCTTCAGCAGGCTGAAACAACAACCGCACGACCGAGTGGGGGGGCAATAAGTGGCGGCGCTGGTTCACCAAGTAAGCAAATCCCATCAACTCACTGTGTGGCCATCGTGTCCGCACATGTGGGCGACTTGGGGGGCTTGAGAAGCGTACGAGAGATGGGGGTTCGCCTCGGTCATGGGGAGGGCGTCCATGTCCCCGCGGAACGCAATGCAAGTCACGGGCGAAGTCTTGTCGCCTTCCGTCGGTCCAACGATGTCCACCACGAGCCCTGCATATTCAGGTGGGATATGGAGAGGAAGTATATATAATATACAGTATACATGGAAACAGACCAGTGGTGGCGCAGTCGTGGATGTGCTCGGTCGGGATATGAGCCTCATGGACGAGGTAATCCCGCACAAGGGCTTGGGTTTTGAACTCGTGGAAACTGAGCTCGGGGTGCTGATGCAAATGCTGGCGAATGGACGCCAACGCGGCAAAGAACGCGTTAAAGCTGGCCGGCATGGTGGGCAGTTGAGCAATACCTTGCCTGCAGAACGTTGCTATGTGGGGACCTGTCCCATCTCGGATTTAACGTGCCAACGTCAGGATTGAGTTTGGAAGTACTAGTAGTAGATGGTTCACAAGCAAAAGTACATACATTATGGACGGATAGTATTTGTGTTATTCTTATGTACGTAGTACGTATACTATAGTGCTACGTACTACTCGTATTACATAGTAGGCTCAACTTGCGTCACTACGTGACTCGGGCGGCTGGGGGCGATTGAAAACCGAAGATATACATTGGATTGGAGTCGCAGTCGCCTTGTGAAATATATGTACATCGTTAACTCACTAGGTAGCACACTCCCATCGTGTCGTTATAACGGTGTTGGAAGGACACTATTTGTCACCCTTCTTAACTGGTAGTACTCGTATGCTGTTTATTGGTGTATAACGTTCCCCACGAGATTGAACCAAGCGAGTTCCCCCTGTTGTTACAGTGCCCAACTGGCGTACTTACCAACTGTTTCAATCGAAATGGAGTCCTATGACATATGACAGAACCAACTGGAGCCCCCTGCACCACGTAACGTTATAAGCATGCGCAGACTCGAGCCATGTTGTGTGTATATGGCCACGGAAACACCGATGCTTGTCAGGGCTGTGGAAAGTAAAAAAACTAACTCCGTCAGCACTGATACATGGATTGTCCAGAATATTTATGCCCAGAAGGACGTATTCGAGTCTGTGGAAACTACACTTTTGTAGGTCAGGGGTGGTACATATCAACTTATAAGGCCACCATGTATCTGCATCAATCAAATGTCGTTGGATCATAATCATGGTCGTACACGCCACGCTACTCTGTGACACTAAAAACCCGATGCGCTGCCAATTGAACACTCTCGTGACCGCTGAAGGGACTCGGAGTCGTGCCATGAACACAGCAGCATCCATCTTCACGACCTTCGCCTACGCGCTACCACGTAGCCGTAGCTAGCACGTCGTCACCGCGACAACCAACGACTAGTGTGACCACAGAACAATGACCGACAACAGTTCAACAGACCTCGCGTGCACTTGTGTATGCATCTCCATGAGGACGACTGTCATGGCGGTCAACGTGCCTCTCACATACTTGTATCTGACGGATGAAAGCTTGTGTGAGGCTACGATCATGGCGGCAGCATAACCACTTGCTGGTAGATGATGCAGCCAGCTTTTCATGTTTCTTGGGCAAAAACAAGGGACCTTTCGGTATCCGGATAATGTATCCGGTATCCCCTGGTTGTGTGATTCATGGGTAAAAGATTTCGACTTCGAACCCATGCTTGCGCCAACGCTGCCTACGGACCCGCTCCATCCTCCGCACGCCACGCAGCACTCCCCGTCGGTGAGTGTGGCGGAGGTCCGCTACCGCAACCACACGAAGAAGGTCGCGGTGTACGAAGGCATGTCCCCGACCGAATGCAGTCTGCTGCTTCAAGCGGCGTTCTTCGACCCAACCACGTCCGGCACCCATCCCGACCAAGGCGGCAAAGTAATGGGCTTTGTCCACCTAAAGACCAAAACCTTCCTGCCCCTGTCGTTGGCGACGGCGTTTCCTCAACTCCTTCAGCCGAACCACACCTACGAGCTCATCCTCGAGAAAGAACCACCTGCGCCGACGATTCCAACGCATGCCGAAACACCATCGGCCGCCAGTCCCCATCAGCATTCGTACCACTCGGCGCATTATCCCCGAGCGACACCACCGCCACCACCACCCGCGTCCTCGTCCTCTGTCGCCGCTACCACCGCCAGCGTCGCGCACGTCGGTACGCATGTCGTCCTTTCTGTGTGTCTCGTAGGTTATATACTACGAACTAGTATCGACGTTACGATCTACATCTTCTCAGGACACTACCTTCTCTTATAGCACTGTTGCATATGTGTGTTCCCCCTCCATCATCGTCGTCATATATACACACGTCCAGAGGATCTTCTCATCGATCTCTTGTCATGTACCACGTAGGCCTCGTCCACAACCCAGCCAACACGACCCACCCTCATGCAGCTCCATCTTGTCCCCAAGACCAGGACGGCGAGGATCACTGGAGCGAAGCCATGTACAACTTGATGGTGCACTGGGACAGCCATCCGCATGACGACGAATCGGCCGCGAGGTTGCCGCTGGAGAAGCTGGAAACGTTGCTCTTGAGCCAGCAGCACCCCCAATTGCACCAAGCATTTCTAGGCTACTCGACGCCTGGGGCTGCCACGTATCGGAACCTCCCGGCGCTGGTGCATCAAGTGCGGCGGGTGCTGGCGGTGCTGCAGCAGCAGACCAAGTCATCGTTTACACGTGTGGTGAACCAGCTCGTGCACTTGAAGCCCCACGATATTGCGCTCATTCACGAACTGTTTACCCAAGGTAAATATAAGAACAACACGAGCGCCTGTTATATATATATATACGCGAGTTATATATATGCATTGGTGTTGGCAACGTAGTGTGGAATATGTAAATCTATATCGGTGTTGAATTGTGACGATCGAGTGCTTCTTTCAACTCGTTTGATTTCGTGGACTTGCCTGGCCATATCTATATATATATATTATTTGATTATATATATATTATTTAATTGTATATATATTATTTAATTATATATATATATATATTATTTAGTTATATACATTATTTAGAAATGGCCATATCTATCTATCTATATTATTTATTTAATGTTATATATATTAATGCTGTGTTGTTGAATACAACAATTCTACTGATCATGTCCATGTGTTTGATTTCCCAATAATGTGTCGATCCCATGACTATTTATATATATATATATATATAGGCAACGAGTTGGTTCTGGCGGCGTGGGAAGTATTTGAATTGGAGGAAGACAAGGATGAGTTGGCCGACACGTTGCTGCGCATCGTTCGCTTCAAACGGCAGCAGCAGCAGGCGCCTCCTTCCCTCGACAGCATCTGTCGCGAGTTGGTCGAACGACATTTGCTCACGGATGTACAGTGCCAGGGACTGCTGGCTCTGTGGGAGGCCAAGAACGACGCCATCATCGGCGCAGTCGAAGCCTTTCACGCGGATAAGGACATGCGCGAGCTAGTGGATACGCTGCTGCTTGTGGTCAAGCACGCCGGCCTCGACCAGAATAATCTGTCGCCGTCTAACAATGGGAAATCTCCCGTGTTTGCGCGGGGAAACGTCCCAACAAGCCCAGTCGACGATGCAGCGGCCGACGTGAGTTTGGAAGAATTGCACCCGTTGTCCCCTCGTGCGTCGACTGGGAAATTTCCCACTTCTCCGCCCCTGTCGCCCCCATCGTACGGCACGTTTGAGACGGCGAATAGCCCTCCAACGACATCGTTTACATTGGGCAAAATCCCCACGAAACGCTCAAAGGACAGCGTCGTGGCGTTGCTTGATGCGTTGCTACGCCAGTCATTGCTCACGAATCCCCAGCACCAGTTGCTAAGCAACTTCCGAAACGACAGCAGAGTGCAAGCGGCCGTGCAAAGCCAGTCGGCGAAGGAATCGCTGGTCGAGTTGTACCAGGTGCTGCAGTGGGAAACCAACCGCCAGAGTATTCTCCACAAGTGGTATATATATATATATATTGGTGACTGGGAGAAAATATAAGATTGGAACCGTCGAATGTATATATATATATATATATATAGATGTTTGTGTAAAAAAGTTGGAGTGGACGAAAAGGGGCAAATAACTTGACCTTTTTCGTGAGATATATGGGAGAACGTTACACAATGTATATATATTTATATATATTATATACATCTACTGGACCAGTGCGTCCCATGGAGTGAGATTAGTCTCTTTCTTTTTTTTGGTTGGTTGCATCAAATTATTATGTATTATTATTATTTTAAAATCACCTGTGGATCCTTATCCCATGGCGTCAAATGCGCTCCTCTTATCCATAGACCGACGAGGAATATACTTCATGGCTCGACCGTGTCGGCATTCATATATATATATATATCATTTTTAAATTTTCGTTTTCGTCTACTGTATATATATATAGTATGTAGATGGACCTTGAGATGTTTTTCGGTAGGATTGTGCCATTGGAAGATCAAGGCAAAGGGCGGGGGCTGCGGCGTCTGTGGGCCAGTGCCGACCCGCGTCTCATGGCGGCCTTCATCTGTTTCGCTGACGACAGCGACGAAGTTGAGTTTGTCGACACGCTGATGCGGCTGTCCGACACCATCGATGGGCCGGCGGAAGGGGGCGAAATAGCCCAAAGTGAGGCGCCAGAGGTGGCCTCGTCGATGCTGGCGCTGCACGCGACGGGCAAATTGAGTCCAGACGTGCTGGAACAGTTGCAAATGGACGACCCCAAAGTTCTCGCGGCTTTCGATGTGTTTGAGAGCGCTCAAGACATGGTAAAACAATTATATATATATATATCGATTGGATGGGCTGTGGATATAGTGATATATATATAGGTCGTGATGAGACTATGCGAATACGACTGTGTGTGTAATTATTTATTTAGATATATATATGTTGTGGACAATGTATATAGAGTAGACTGGTGCATTGGAACGGGGTTGTAGATTTATTTATTTATTTTTCGTGAAACGGTGTACCAGTCGTGTTGTGGACTCTACTATGGCTGTCGGATGAAGAAATAAATATATTATCTATCCTTGACGATTTTTTAGTATATATTTTCATTTCATGTTTATATTGGACCGAAGATTCGATTTTGTATCTATCTATATATGGGACTAGTTAATAGGAGCCTTTGTATATTTATTTACCTATATGTATATATATATCCTAGCTAGATTGTTTCTGGACTCTTAATGGGATGGTATCTGTAGGACGAGTTGGTGGACACTCTGAACCGCATTGCGACCACAGGTCGTAATAATACTAGATTGAGTATGGACAAGCAGCTGCTGCACTTGGTGTATGAGCTGCAGCTGCCCGCGGACGAATTGGCGGCTCTCAAGCTGGCGATTTCTACCAACGACGAGGTGGTGCAGGCCGCCGTGGACGTCTTTCAGATCGACCACGACGAGGTACTTATATATATATTTGTATATACTGATCTTCGACTTCACACGAAAACTACCCTATTTGGATATATTACACAGATATATATTGTCGATTTTCTTCAAATTTCCCAATTTTGCATGGTTCGTTCAATCGAGCTCAAATAGAGCCGAGACATCTGATTGGCCATTATCCACTTCGGCCCTTTCCAGTAGAAACTCGAAAATGGATTGTAGCCAATCAGCGACAAGTAATTTCGGATTGACCAATGGGAGAGATTGGTGCTGGATTCGCTTGGCGAGATTCGATTGAACGGGGTCCGGAAATTCATACCGAATCTCCAATATATATATATATATATATATTTGGTCTGAAGGATCGCTGTATGTGGCGATGAGTTCTTGGACGTGGATGGATGATGGCTGGGGGGTATTGATTGATTGGATTGGTTGGAATGTGTGTGGGAAACTAAGAAGAGTAGGGTGTTTTATTATTATTATTATTCTGTAGGTAGTATCTATTGATTTTGGCTTTGAAGACTTTTTAATAAATTAGTATTCGTCCTGACAACTTGTTTCGTAGGAGGACTTTAAAGATACGTTGAGACGACTGGCGCGGCACAGTGTGGGCGCGACTGAGCCCGTGGACGAATAACGTAGCGAGAGTAATAAAAAATATATTTCTTTGAATATATAAATAAATATAATAT